ACGACAATCGGGGCTTAAGTTAAAGAGTTGGCAGACGGACAGAGCCCTGTAGTTCTTCTCAGACGAGTTCAAGGAGCTCTTCAGGAAGAAAGGGATTGAGCACCTTGTGTCCCTGCCCTATGCTCACGAGCAGCAAGGAGTAGCAGAACGGACAAACAGGAGCCTTGCCACCGCGATGAGGGCCCTGATGAAGCAGTCAGCCATCCCAAGTCGGTACTAGCCATTCGCCATGAACCACGCAGTCCGGCTGCACAATTTGCTGTCCTCCCGAAGCCTCAAGAACAACAACTCTCCTTACAGGGCGTGGACGGGCAGAAAAGCAGACACGCGCCTGCTTCGGGTGTTCAGCTGCATGGTACAGTACAGGCCACACACAGCAAGGACCGGAAAGTTTACTGACCGGGCTCGCTGGGGCATCCACCTCGGTATCGAAAAGGGATTCAAAGCGTGGATCATGCTGGACTACGCGACACATGAGGTGACGAAATCACGTGACTGCATCTTCTACGAGAAGCTGACTCTGCCACTGTTCAACGAACACCGCGAAGCTGACAGGGCACCGGAAAGGGTTTTCGAGGGACACCGCAGCTTCGCAACTCCACACGATGAAGCTGACCTGGCGGAGGATGCGGATGCAGCAACTGTTACCCAGTTTGACAGCACACCTAACATCCCCCTTACAAGCCCGCTCCAGACCCCAACCTTCATACCTCTACACCAAACCGATCCCGATGATACAACTCGAGAAGCCTTCAACTTCAACAGCGACGCCCGCCAGTCACCAGATGCAGCGTTACCACCGCCAAATACTTCGTAGGATTCCATCCGCCTTGGTAACGACAGTGACGACGACGTGGTCGAGGTAACTAGCTTCCACGACTACGATCGCCTGCACTACGAAAAGACCAACGAGACCGGTCTTCGCATCCTTGGGCTCGCCGTCGCTGTTCGCCACCCTTCCCCCAAGGAACCCACCACCTTTCGCCAAGCTCTCTCTGGCCTCGACACTGAAATGGAAGGCAGCCATGGCCAAGGAGATCGCGTCACTCAAGAGCCGTGGAACCTGGAAGCTCGTTCCCCAGACATTTGCGAAGGGGAGAAAAATTCTCAGCGGAAAATGGGTGTTCCGCATCAAGACACTGGCGGATGGCTCCATTGACAAATACAAAGCGCGATGGGTGGTGCGCGGCTTCGAGCAAACTCACATGGTGGACTTCGATCTCACCTACGCACCAGTCGGGCGGCACACTTCAGTACGGATCCTCATCTGCATCGTCGCCGTCAAACAACGCCCACTCCGCCAAATCGACGTCTGCAGTGCATTCTTATACGCTCCGGTCGACGCAGTCGAGCAGCCGCATGCCTTCGAAGAGAACGACGGCGCCGTCTGCCTGCTCCAGAAATCCCTCTACGAGATTAAGCAAGCACCTCGCCTCTGGCAGCAGTACCTGCACACGGTACTCACGCAACTCGGTTTTCAACAGCTGCCGCATGACCTCGGCATGTACAGGAAAGAGTCGCGCGGCAAATTTATCCTCCTCGTTGCCTACGTCGACGACCTTCTCTACACCGGCGACGACACGGAGCTACTGGACCAGTTCGAAGCGGATATCAAGGAGCAGCTGGAAGTCACTGTCAACCACGACGTTACTCGGTTCATGGGTCTCAACATCAACCAGTCCGCCTCCTCCATTCACCTCTCCGCCGCTAAATATGCCGAAACACTCGCGAAGAAATTCGGCATCGCACCTATCAACCTCACTACCCCTTTTCGCACCCCTCCTCCTAACCACGAACCGGACACCGCGCCCCTCTCTCTCGGGGATCATCGGCTCTATCAACAGCAGCTAGGGTGCCTCCTGTTCGCCGCCGTCATGTGCCGGCCCGATCTCTCCTACGTCACAAGCCAGCTCGCTCAGTACATGAAGCGACCTAAAGGGGAGAATCTACAGGATCTACGCCGTGCACTTCAATACTTCATCTCTACTCCTGACGTCGGCCTCACCTACGAAGCTAACTTAACGGCTACCCTGCAGCTGCACGGCTACGTAGACGCAGACCATGCGGGAGATGTTGACAACAGACGCTCCCGCACATGATTCGTTTTTCAACTTCAACCTGCTGGACTCATCTCGTGGAACTCTCAGAAGCAGGAACTCATCGCCCTTTCGTCATCTGAAGCAGAGTTCATCGCCGCCAGCGAAGCTGTTCGCGAAGGACTGTACCTAATGGAGCTCCTGCAGGAAGCGAAAGTAGCGATGAACGGTCACTTCACGTTACTCTGCGACAACCAGAGCGCGATCAAGATCGCAAACAAGCCCGGCTTCGTGAACGGCACGAAGCACATCGGCCTTCGCTATTTTTTCCTCAAAGATGAAATCGACAAAGGCAAGGTCAAGGTTACATACTGCCCAACTGGTGACATGGCGGCCGACTTTCTGACAAAGAAACTGCCACGTCAACAGTTTCAGCACTGCGCCAATCTGTGCGGGATCACCAAGAAGTCCCATGTGGCTCACCTTTAGGAATTAAGGGGGGTGTTGAAATAACCGAAAGATTATAAAGCATTCCCGAAGGCTCTCCACTATCTCGTCTCTTCATAACGAAGCAGGCTCCTGTACCAATACCGCATTAGCTCATATAGAGCACGCGGAAGGTCAAGGGTCACCCAAAGGTCAACAGTCGAAGACAGTCAACGGTCGTGACCCTTGACTGCCCAAGTAACCCCACAAGGCAGTTACGAAGTGCAACATGGTAACTGTCTAGAATGGCAATAGTCGTGGTTACTGTAGTAATGCAATTCAGTTAATAAGGGAATGCACCCCTCAGAGTACATGGCTGGCTAGGAATGCTATTTATATCATTGTACTCCTATCTTATATTTACATTGTTCTCCTTCAATTTATTAACAAGGTCATTACAGAGACTTCACAGTTCTCTCTCTTACACTTAGCAACATTATCCTATCCACTACGATCCTTCAGTTATAACATCACAAATGTCCAGACAGGAATATACCCTAAGATCAAAATACGGTATGCCATATGCAGGGCCTCAGAAGTCAGCGAAAAAAGGCTGATTTAGGTAAAAAAGGCTGAGATTTCAGACCTTTCTTAGAGCTGAGGCTGATTTTTCAGCGATTTGTTGAAATGAAACAGGAAATGTTAATAGATTTTTAGTGAAAAATGGCATAAAATGGCTGATTTCTCTGATTTTCAGCAAAACGTTTTGTACCAACTCTGATTTTTCAGTCTAGGCCAAAACGAATCTAAGGCCCTGGCCATATGTAAGGACTCGGGTATAATGTAATTTTTCCTATGAGGAGACCCCCCCCCCCCCCCATTTTTTCCCTGTATTTTGAGCTATAACCTAGGGTGTTTTACCCGGGAGAGTACGGTATCTTCTAGTTGCTCGACGGCGCTTTTCGCCTCCCTTCAAAGCCCTGGCTAACACGACGCAAACCTCGGTTTTCTCCGGTGGCCGTCACTAGCGGAGGTATATCGCTAGTGAACGCACACCATGTAGGTGTTGGTGATGTTTAACTCACCATAGGCCTTTTGCATTGTATTATTTTGTACCTGGTTACGACATAAATATAAACTTAACCTTAACCTGAACCTACCAAACTTGTCCAATTATTGTAGGGCTTAGACTCTTATAAAGAAAACATATTCAAAATTCTATCAGTATAGTTAACTTATTATGTTTATTTTTTGCAGGATCACATTTTTTGCTACCATGCAAGTAACCTGTCCAGTCACTGGCGAAGCTGCTGTGATCCATGGCTGCCTGTCACATCGAGCACCAGCACTAGCAACGGTCTATTCGAGGCGCCGCCGACAGCACCCGGCCCGTACCTTGCGATGCGACCCTTTCCACACGTCATTTCTATTTCCCCCCCTCCCCGCTCCCTCTGCCTCCCTGCCCTGCCTCCCTCGTTTCGGAGGCTTCCCTTCCGCCTGGAAGCTAGCCGAAATGCCTCCCACACGGTGTGACGGGACCAGAAGCCCGTCGCATCGTGATTCGAAATCGCACGTGCGATCTCCGCCGTCGGATTGCACCGACCGTCCCTACCGTCGCGACCGTGACGAGATGGAAAGAGCGAGCGAGCAGCTGGGAGTTTGTCCCCGCATCCGCTGCCAATTCGCTCCATCCCGCTCCGCGCGCCTTGTCAGCCGGTTGCTGTTACGCGCTCTCCTCTCGTCAAGGGAGGTAGCAAGCGCGGCTCCCCGAGAGCGGCGCGGCTCTCCGTCAGCGCGAGAGTCTGTGATCCCTGAACGGCAGGGAAGGCAGCTAGTAAAGGATTTCCAAAAGCTGGAAGTTGTTTTCTCAGGAGCTGGAACATCAATTTCAAAGAAGTCAAAGCTCCTGTGGGGGCGCGAGAGTATCTGCTTGACAATCGCGCGCAGCAATCGAGAGGCGCGCCCCTTAGCGGTTGTTACTCGCCGAGACGCCTCCTTGGCTGTTTGAGACGTCTGGCTGTCGCTGTGAATTCCATGATGCGCCTCCCGCGTGTGCTGATTCATCCGATGCGGCAGAGCAGACGAGAGCACGCAGCAGCGCTGTGCACGTTGCTGCCCGTGCTGCAGTCTGCTCTGCTGCTGCTCGCGACTGTTGGCTTTGCGGCCTCTCTGGAAGCGCAATCGCAGCGTTCATATCTCCTGCGCAGGCCTCCCCATGTGAGTCACTCTCACAACACCATCATGCTCTGTCAATTTAAGAAACACGCACTCACCTGCTCCTACACTGCGACTCAGTTTTCATGCCGCCTTCCCCATGTGGGTACACGTCACTCACCCGCTTCCACTTAGCAACTCATCTCCAGCGCAGTCCCTGTGCACTCACCCGCACAACTGCATTTATAAAATCTCACAAGTGTTCCTCACTATATCTCTCCTGCCATGCCATCCCGCTCTCCTCCCCTGTCTCGGCCCCCCCCTTCCCGCCCCTCCTCCCGTCCGCCCCTTGACCCTTTCTGCCCGCCCCTCTCCTCTCTGCAGTCCCTCGCGCGCCTCTTCCCCCGCCCACCCTCCTCCACGTGGCTGCCCCCCTGGCAGCGCAGGGGGCACGCGCAGGGCAGAGTGCTTCTAGGGGAGACGGGGCATGTGCTGACGGCGGCTCTTGTGCACCATACTGCTGTGCATGGATGTGATGCTGATGTGAGTGCATCCATGCCATGTACCAACAATCAATTATACGCGCTATTGCAGTGAGCTTCACCGTATTGAATTCATGGATTTGGGCGATGGGAACATCAAGCTATGTGGGACCAATTTAACCTATTGCATGCAACACAAAGTCACTTCTGCAGTGGATTCGCTGCAGAGGTCGTGTGTGACGTGCAATAGGTTTGGCTGGACCCACATAGCCTGGTGTTCCCATCCCATCTCATCCCTCCCTTCCTCACGAGATACTGATTAAAGTTCTTTCTTAGTGTCAGCCACTTTCCCATAAACCCCATCCCATTTTCGTTTCCTCCTTTCTCTCCCGCACTCGTCCTCACTTCTCTCTTCCCCTACTTGCCCTCTTCTTTCCGTCCCTCCCCCCCTCCCCCTTCCGCCCTTCCCTTTTTCTCTCTCCCCCTATGCCCCCTCCCTCCTCTCTCCCCACTCTCTCTCCCTCCCTCCACTCCACCCACAGCATGCCACATACCACATGCGCCAGCGCCACCGGGACAAGCACCGCATGCTCACGGCCTTTGCCCCCCCGGCACCCACAAGAGCAGCAGCTGCTGCTGCTGCCACTGGTGCGCGCAGACTGCAAGAGTCGCCTGCAACAGCAGCAGCAGCAGCTGCCAGCGGCATCGCAGCGTATGACCTGGGAGGCCGAACCATCCGATATGGGTAATTTGGGATGAACCCGGGATGGTTTGGGCGTATGGAGAAGAATGACAGTGTGGCCTTACTGAGCGTAGTGTTAGGGATGACTCCGGGGGAATGTGTGGGCTACGTGGGGTGGGGGAAAGGTCTTGAGACATTGCGGCATCTGATGGCAGGCAGACGGGCAGGATTTGGTTGGACGGATGCGCTTACTCAGACCCATATACCTGCAGGCTGTGCTTTCTGCGCTTCCCGTTCTTTCCTTGCCTTTTCACCCTTCCTTTCACACGCTCCCTTCCCTTCACACTCCCCTCCCACTCCTTCTCTTCTGCCGCGTCTTCATCCTGAGTGCGTCGCTCTCCTCGCCTGCTTGTTCCTTCTCCATGGAGATGAATGACGGTGTGGCCTTACTGGTCGGGGTGTGGGGGATGATTCTGGGGGGATGTGTGGGTCGCCTCTCAGAATTCCCCAAGCCTCCTCCCCACCTCACCGCCCCTGCCCCAGGCTGTACTATCTGAACGTGTCGCTCTCATCGCCTGCGCGCTTTTTCTCAGTGGTGTTTGACACGGGCAGTGACATGCTGTGGGTGCCCTGTGACTGCATCCAGTGTGCCACCAACTCTTCCCTCGTTGTAAGAACATACGCTTTGTGTAAGGGCAAGCACTTGTTGAAAGCACAGACAGACACCTGTTGCAAGCACAAACACTCATTGTATGAACAAACACTCATGGCAAGGTCAACATGTTTTCGGGTTTAGCACATCATTATTCCACTTTGCACTGCAGCAGCAATACGCTCTGCTCCCTAACCCTTGTCCCTTTCTTCCCTTGTCCCCTCCCTTCGCCACTCCAGCCTCTGAGCGCCACCTACCGCCCTGAAAACTCGCTCACAGCCTGCCCTTGAGCTGCGGCAGCCCTCTCTGCCATCCCACCTTTGTCCCTGCCCGCTCCTTCTCTCCCTTCCCTTTCCCCTCTCTAGCCCCTAAGCGCCCCCTACCGCCCAGAATTGTTTCTCACAGCACAGCCCGTGGCCTGCAGCAGCCCTCTCTCTGTCCCCCAACTTGTCCCCTTCTCCTTCTGTCCCCTCCCTTCCCCCCGTCCAGTCCCAAACCGCCCCCAACCGCCTAGAAAACTCCCGCACGACGCAGCCCATGGCTTGCAGCAGTCCCCCTCTGCCCAGCCCACCAACCCTTATCCCGTTCTCCTTCTGTCCCCTCCCTTCCCCTGTCCAGCCTCTCAGCGCCCCCTACCGACCAGAGAACTCGCTCACAGCACAACCCGTCAGCTGCAGCAGCCCTCTGTGCCCCACCGGCCGTCCCAACATCGGCTGCGGCGTTGCCCCCAACCTCACCCGCACAGTCCGCACTCCCACCACCATCTCCCGCTCTGCTCAGCCCAACTCTCCCACCAGTGGGGTTCCAGAGCCTCTACCACTCTCAACCTCCTCCAATGCCTCTGATTCTCTGACAGGCTCCCTGCCCCTGGCGGCTGCTGATTGGCCTGCTCCCAGTGAGACGTGTCAGTATGTGATTCGCTACGGGGATGGCAGCAGCACAGAGGGGACCCTGGTTACTGATGTGATTAACCTGAGTGTGACGCAAGCGGGGGTGGGTGGAGTGGCAGCTGCCACGTCAGCGCCGTCGGCTGTGCCAGGTGGCGGTCAGCCATTGGAGGGGTCGGCAGCAGGGAGTGGGAGCAGTGTTGTCAGCCCACGTGTGCTGTTTGGGTGAGTGGAGCAATATGGTGCTACAATGTGTGGATGGATGTCACATGGCATGACGATGTTACATGGCATGGCATGATGATGTTACATGGCATGGCATGATGATGTTACATGGCATGGCATGATGATGTTACATGGCATGGCTTGATGATGCCACATGGCATGATGTGATGGCATAATGTTGGATGAATGGAGCAACATGATGCCTGGCTGCCAGGTCGTTTATCCATGTTCTCCACTCCACAATCCTCCCTCATTCCCTTTCCCTGTGCATCAATTCGCATTGCTGTCCACTCTCGTGACTGTCCTCTCTGCTGCTCCCGCCTCTCCCCACATCCCATCCGTTCGCTTCCTCCACCCTCTCCCTTCTACCTCCACGCCCCCCCTTGCAACCAGCTGCCCTTACGGCAAACAAGCCCTTTCCGCTCTAACTTTAGAAACACCCTTTCCCCACTTCCTCCATGGGTCCGTGCCCCTGTGCCCCACAACCACCAGCTGCTCGTCCCTACAGACCGGCACGCTCATCAGCAGCCCCTTCTCAGTGGATGGCCTCATGGGCTTTGGCTCCGGCCCTCGCTCCGTCATCCGCCAACTCTCCTCCTCGCCCTCCTCTCCTTCCTCTGCGTCCTCCTCCTCCCCCTCCTCCGTCACGGACTCGCCAACACAAGTGGCAGCCTCCTCTGCAGCAGCAGCAACAGCCGCGGCAGCAGAGGCAGCAGGCACAGGGGCAGGAGCAGGGCAGCAGGAAGCAGTAATGCCGTTTGCCTTCTCCTTCTGCCTGGACGGGGGGGACACGGGGGGAGGCCACTTGGCAATTGGGCGATCGGAGCAACCGGCGGAGATGCAGACGGCAGCGCTGTGGCATGTGGATGGACTGTGAGTACTGGTGACATGACAGATAGTGATGTGTGGGAGGGAGTAGATGATCACGTGCTGTCAGTCAGTCAAGCACATGACGCATCTACTAGCTTCAATCTTCTCATCATCTGTCAAATTGATAAATCGACATTCATCACTAAAAATACAAAGGTGTGACTGATATTTCCTGCTGAGGTGCATCCTGCCATTTGACTCCCCACAAGCAGGCACTCTCATGCACTTGGCACCATTGGAGACACTAGATTCCCACAACCGCTATCTGGGAATCCTTCACAATCTCCTTCTTTCTCCTCCCCCCTCGTTTTCCTCTCCCCCTCATTTCCCTCTACCTCATTCCCGTCTTTCCTGCATATGTCTCTCGTTCCCACTCCCCTCCCCTGCTGCCTTTCCCATTTCTCACGCATGACACCCAGCCAGGGTACCATACCATTGCATCAACATCAGTGGCATGAGCATCGGAGGCTGCCAGATGGCAGGTGGCCTGCTTTCCGCATTTCCTCCTCCCTCATTCCCCTCTTCCCTCGTCCCCCCTTCGTCCTCTCCTCGACGCACACATGCACGACGCCGCAGCCCGTACCATTACATCAACATCAGTGGCATGAGCATTGGAGGCCGCCAGGTGGCGGGCGCTGATTCGCTGTCAACAGTGGACGCGGCCAGCCTGGAGGGCGGCGTCATCATTGACAGCGGCACCACCTTCACTGCACTGCCACCCGCCGTCTACACCTCGCTGAGGAATGCGGTGAGCTGCGGTGGGATGGAGTTCGATGCAGTGTAATGTGGTAGGGTAAGAGGCGGTGAGATGTGGTGTGTGAGAGGTGGAAAGGTCCAATGCGGTGAACAGTGGTGTGGTGGTATGCATGGAAGGAATGAAGAGTCTTTGACAATTCTACTCAATATTGCCAGCCAGCTGTTTTTACTTGCCTGCCTGCACTTGCCTGCCTCCTGTTTTCCCTTCGCCCCTGCTTTCCGTGCAACTATTTTTGTCGCTCCGCTCCCTGTTCACGGTTCACTCCCTTTGTCCTTCTCACTCCCCACTCTGGAACTCTCTCCTCTTTCTCCCGTCTCTTAATGTCGCATGCAGGTGTTTTCGGACCCGCTTCTCTCTGCCTTTCCTGATCCCACCCTCGGGGATTGCACCCTCTTTCCCAGGTGCCCACACCCCACTCACTTCAGCATTTGTGAAAGCATGAAGTTCTAAATATTCGTCCGTCAAGCACCTGTTTCATTGATATCAGCAGTCAAATTAGAGCCATGTGTCCTTATATTAACACTTTCTAGCTTGTTTTTGCCTGTCCCACTTCATCTCCCTGCCTGTTTTCAAACCTGCCAGCAATGCCACCCTCTTCGACTCGGTCTTTCCGAACCTTCTTATCAGCTTCGGCAACACGACCTGGGCCGTTCCACCCACCAACTACTTATTCCTCGGGGTGAGTCCATTCCATTCCATCCATCTTTTTACACGTCTCAAAAATCAACTACATCATGATTCTAATTGAACAACTGGGAGTAGGTGTGTGTGTCCTCCTTCCTTACTCTGCACATCTCATCATATCTCGTTGATTTTATTTCACGCAATTTTGAAGTAAAAGAGACGTGCGGGTGCAACTGTCACTTCTCTCAATTCAGCTGCTCAGCTCCCTCTCTACCGTTTCCTCTCGCTCCTCATTCACGCCTTCCACACCAGCACCTTCGCGTCTCCCCCCTTTCCTGTCCCCTCTCCCTTCTCCTCCCCTCCCTTGTCCTCCTCGCTGCTGTGCCCCCTTCTCCGCCCTTCATCTTTCTCACACTCTTCTCTCCCCTTACCCTTGTCCTCATCCCCCTTTCTCCCCGTATCTTCCTCGCCCCCTTCCCTCCCTCCCTCAGGGGCTTCATGTTGCGCACAGGCATGGCTTTACTTTGCGATGTCCCCCTCTCCCCCCACGTATCCTCCTCGCCCCCTTCTGTCCGCCCTCCTTTATCGTCCTCTCCTCCCCTCTCCCCCCCCCCTCTGCAGGGCTTCATGGAGCGCACAGGCATGGCTCTACTTTGCTTGGCTGCCCTTCCTATTTCCTCTTCCCGTGTTTCCGCTATCATTGGAGGTACACACACAAGCAGATTAACCATAAAACCATGCATCCTTGTAACCGTGTAACCCTCTTACCTTGTTTCGGTTATGTATGCCTGGTTCCATCCCTCATTGCCCCCCCAGCCCTTCCATTCCATCTCCAGTCTCATGGCTCTATTCTTCCATCCTTCATGCCCCATGCCTCCCCATCTTCAACAATCCTGCTCTTTCCGCCGCTCCCACCCGTTCCTCCCCCTATCACATACCATCAGAGTCGTGGCTGCAGAACTTCTACATCCTCATGGACGAGGAGCGAGGGATGTTCGGCTGGCACCCCCTCAATTGTGAGTCATGCTGCCCCCTCATAAGTCATTTCCTCCGTTGCTCAGTTGGCTATTGCTGTCTTTGCATTGGAGAGTATGTCCTTGTCATTCTCTCTGTCTGTGTCCTCTTCTTTTCTTTTCAACCTGTACCTGCTGCAGGCTCCACGGGCCAGGAGCTTTTTCGAACTTCACTTCCACAAGGTGCCTCCTTCGCCTTTCCTGTCTTAGTGCTTCCTGTCATTCTTCATTTTACTCATTCTAGTCTTCATTGACTCTTTTGCGTGCTGCTGATAACACTTGCTTCCCTCCTCCTCCCTCGCTTCCTCCTTTCCCCCACCGCATTTCCACCCCCACCTCGCACCTCTCCGTCCCGTCCATTCTCTTCCCCCCCCTTCTCCCCGTCTTTTCCCCCCCCCTCCCCTTTCCCTCCCCCTCCTCCTCCCCCTCCCCCTCCCCCTCCCCCTTCCCCTCCCCCTCTGCATCGTCGTATCCTTGTATTGTCGTCATATCAGATGGTAATCCTGCGCCTGCCACGGCCAATACCACCACACCCAGCCGCGGCCATGGGCCAGGTGGGTCACTTATGAGTATTCTTAGTGAAACCAACGTAGCCAGGTGAGAGGGGGCGCGGGCAGGTGAGTGGGGCCATGGGGTTGAGAGAGCGAGCGGTTGTAGCTCTCTGTGACATGCTTATACCACACTGTGACAACCTGTGATACACTTATAGCATGTTGCTGTAGCATGCTCAGAGCACGAAATATTGTAACACACTGTGCTGCTCTCTCTCTGCTGGGGCATCGTCCCACCCACCCTAGAGCCCTGTTTTTGCCTTGTGATTGGTGCAGGTACTTCATTTTGTTCCACTCTGAACCTCTTCCCCCTCTTTCAGTCTCTTCCATTACTGTCTCTTTGATCCTTTCCCCACCACTCCACGTCATCTCCATCCTCTGCTTCCTCCCAACCTCTCCGTCCACGTCAGTCTCTTATTCTCTGTCATCCCCATTCCCTCCTGCAGAGAGTGTGCGCCCATCGAGTCCGAGTCAAGCCTCACAAGGTATGTGTGCAACCTGGTTGTTCGTTCTCCAGAGAAGTACACGGACGAGTTTTTATTCGGGTGGAGAGGGGGAAAGGAAAGCAGAGGAGAGAGCGCAGAGGATTGGAGAGGAAAGCCATGCATTCCTTTGCTTGCGATGCCCCACAAGCTTGGTCCATGCATCCCTTTGGTTGAATCTTGCTACTGAAGGGACAATCAAGCACTCTTGGGAATCACGGCTTTCTTGTTTCTCTTTCACCCACAAACTACCGTGCAGACGAGCCATCATCGACACCAGAGGCGAAGAGTACCATTTTTCTGAACACGCAGTAATGAATGTTTTACCACCCTTGTTTCTCTGTCACCTCCGTTTGCTGTGCAGGCGAGCCATCCTCAACACCCGAGGCAAAGGGTACGTCTGGTTGGGAGCACCTGTGTGCGGAGCCCCGCTCTATTTCACAGCCCACTTCTCGTCTTGCAATATCACGCGACAGACCTTCAGCAGCTAAACATTTTATTTTGGTTGTGATGTCTTGCTAAGCGAACCTCTTTACTGTGTTTCTTTATTGCAGGCTCAATGGCTGTCAACGGCAGAACCAAAGCTAGTCTAAATCAGTTCGTGCTGTTTGTTCTGTTTGTATTAGTGGTTTTGGTGTAGCTAATCCCGTTACTACCCCATTGTGATGCTTCTCTGTTCTTGTATGAGCTTAACGTTGTTAGAAGGCATTTTAAAATTACCCCTTGACTGTAACGAATCAACTCCATACATTCCAAATGTCCCGAGAGTAACCTGGGCACGCACATGCGCTCGATGCAGAGGGGGCGAGCCTCATCCTTCAAATCAATCTAGTACACCACATCCAGTAGTTTTAGATTGACGTTCCAGATAGTAGCCAGAGATTGCGTAACGAAATTCGTTCCCCGGCCGTTCCGCTCGCCCTTGCGCCTCTCGTCGCTCTCCCCAACCCACTCCCACCCTCATTCCCCTCGCTCCCCCTCGTCCCACGCGCCTCGCTTTGCCCCCTTCCCCCGCCTCAACCGCGCCCGCGCCGCCTTTCCGCTTCCCCACGTCGATCGAAACCGTCCTCGCGCCTCGCTCTTGCCCCCATCATCTTCCCGCAATGCCTGCCATTCCGCTTCCCCGCATGTCGACAAACCCGTCCGCGCGCCCGCTGCCCTGCTGAGCTGGTGAGTGGCGGAGGTTGTGACTGGCGGAGGTGCTGACTGGCGGGGGTTGAAGGAACGAGAAGCGCCGGAGCGGAGGGACGGTGAGTGGGTAGAGGGTAGGCAGTCCATGGCGGAGTTTTGAGACGTTTCAAAACTCAAGACTCATTTGTGAGACGTCTTAAGACTCTATGCACTGTTAGTGGGTAGAGTTAGTAGGCAGTCCAACGATGGAAGCTGGTGACGCGGGGGGGTGTGGGAGTGGTGGGGTGGGGGTGGAGACGGAGATGAGAGAAGGGAGAAGGAAGACAGCTGAAGGGAAAAGGCTGGAGGGAATGCTGAAGGGAGGAGGCTGACGGGAAGGCTGAAGGGAGGAGGCTGACGGGAAGGCTGAAGGGAGGAGGCTGATGGAAGAAGGCTGGAGGGAGAAGGTTAAACGGGGGAGAGAGTTCGAGGCCTGGGTGAATGAGAGCTCGTTAGTCCCGAGTCCACTCAGAATAAGCCTTGCTAGGGAGCGAATGGGTTTGAGGGGGCCCTGAGAGACCACCCTTGCACCTCACTGGGCCTGTTCGTGATGTCTGCCTGCGCTCTCCCCACCTCTGTCCCGCCCGCCCTCGCCATGCTCCGCTCTCCAATCAGCGACACCATTTAGGCGCAACCTTTCGTCCCACCTACGTTCACACGGGCATGCGTCTGGGTTGCAATAAGAACTTGCTACTTCTCCCGTGCATGCATTCTCTTCCCCTTCCCCACTCATACACACCCCTGCCTGCCATTCGTTCCACCTACGTTCGCTGTTCACACGAAGATGCGTGTGTCCCCCTCTCATTGCCTGTCGCAATGAGAGCTTGCCATATCTCCCACGCACCCACTCCCCCTACCCTCACTTCCTCCTCCCTCTCCTGCGCGCCCTCATGTCAGCAGGGCGCGGGGCGTGACGTGGGAGGCGAGGCGCAGGGCGCAGAGGGGGAAAGTGCAAAGAGGGGGGCGCAGGGCGCAGGGTGCAAGGTGCAAGGTGCACGGGGGCTGGCATGGGGGGCTCAGAGGGGAGGCCATTACTGCAGGAGCAGCAGGGGGGGGATCCAGTGCAGGGAGGTGTGCAGTCGCTGCAGCAGGTGGAGGAGGAGGCGAGGGCGCAGGTGGACCCTTCGGTCTTCCTCATTCTCCTCAACTGCGCCTCTCCAGGCGTTCCTGAAGAACAGGTGGGTGGCGGATAAGAGGGAGGGTGGATGGGAGAGGGGCAGGTGGGTGGGAGAGGGGCAGGTGGGTGGGAGAGGGGCAGGTGGGTGGGAGAGGGACAGGTGGGTGGGGGAGGGGCGCGTGGGTGGGGGAGGGGCAGGTGGGTGGGAGAGGGGCAGGTGGGTGGGGGAGGGGCGCGTGGGTTGGGGAGGGGCAGGTGGGTGGGTGACATTGCCGGTTGATGGGCGGCACTGCCTGGTTTACAGTCAATCGGTCGCGCTTGATGGTGCTCGCCAGAGTTCCCTGCAGCTGCTGAACACTTGTTGTGGTTTCACCCATCTTCCTCCTTCCATCAATCCTTTGCCTTCCTTCTCCTCGTCTCCCTGCTGCTACGGTTCTGCCAGCTGATAGTGGACTCCCCCTTATAGCATTCGAAGTTCCAGCCACAAGTGCATTGCCAGTTGACCTCCATCCCATCCCATCCCATCCCATCCCATCCCATCCCATCCCATCCCATCCCATCCCATCCCATCCCATCCCATCCCATCCCGTCCGGTCCCTTCCCATCCCGTCCCATCCCATACCATCCGATTCGATCCGATCCCGTCCCGTCCCGTCTCGTAACGTCCTGTCCCGTCCCGTCTCGTCCCGTACCATCCCATCGTATGTTATCCCATCCCATCCCATCCCATCCCATCCCATCACCACCGTCTCGTCCAGACGGAATCCTGGGAGTCTACCGAGAAACGAAGCAATCAGCCCATGAGTCGAGTCAGCAACAATAAGCCGCAATAACTAATGCGTTGAGTTGAGATCACTGTGAATAGAGTTTCATTTGCTCTCTGTACCAGAGATGAAGCCGACTTTATCGAGTTATATTCGGGTCACTCACACAACAGCAGCACAGCGAAGAACTCACTCGGCACTTCATAACTGCCTCCACTTCGTTCTGCCGCTATTCCTCATACCACCCCGAGTTGCCTCTCCTCCAGCGCATGTCTCTCGCGTCTGAACCCAGTTTTTTTTTTCGTAATCCGCTTCGCAGCTCCCTATGCCGCACCTCCTTTAATTCTCTCCCTATTGCTGACATGCGCAATAGGGAGCTCATGAGGTGCCGCATAGGGAGCTCCGAAGCGGACTACGAAATAAAATTTGGGTCTAGACGCGAGAGGTATGCGCTAGAGGAGAGGCGACTCGGGGTAGTAGGAGGGATAGCAGCGGAACGAAGTGGGGGCAGTTATGAAGCAACTAGTGATTTCTTCGCTGTGTTGCTGTTGTGTAAGCGACTCTATTTATAACCCAATAAAGGCGGCCTCGTTTCCGGTTCAGAGAGCAAATGAAACTTCCTTTCACTATGATTTTAACTCGATGCATTAGTTATTGCGGCTTGGTTGTTGCTGACTCGACTCACGGGCTGATTGGTTCGTTTCTGAGCAGACTCTCATGCTTCCACCCGTTCTTTGTCAGCTATCATTGAACTTCTCTTTGCACCTCACTGCGAGCATCATTCCCCCCATCCTAATCTCACACATCCCCGTGCCACCATCCCGTCTATCCCTTCAAACCCCTTCTTCCTTCGCCCACTTCCCACCCACACCGTTGCCAGCTGGAAATGCACTTCTCATCCCATTTTGCATCCGCTGTCGTTCCCACCCCATTGACTGCCTTTCATATTTCCTGCTTGTGCCTCCACCCACCAATGCCAGCTGGAGGTGCACTTCTCATCGTGCTTCATAAAGTGTCAGCATGACTTCTCCCATCCGCTTTCCATTCGCCCCACCTCACCACACCCCTAACTCTTCCCGTTCCCCAATGCTACCAGCTGGCAGTGCACTTCTCGTCGCGCTTCAACCGCAAGCCCCACCCCGACAGCGCGCTGGAGAAGATGATGCACACGGTGAGTGAGTGGGGCGTGGTGGGGCGTGCTTCGAGTCCGGTGGGACGTGGTGGGGCGTGCTGTGAGTCCGGTGGGACGTGGTGGGGCGTGCTTTGAGTCCGGTGGGACGTGGTGGGGCGCGCTTTGAGTCCGGTGGGACGTGGTGGGACGTGGTATGAGTCGACTCAGAACACGCCGCTGCAACCGCAGGCCCCACCTCAACAGCGCACTCGAGAGAACATGCACACAGTGAGTGGTGGAACGTATTGGGATGGTGAGTGGTGGAACGTATTGGTATGGTGAGTGGTGGAACGTGGTAGGATGGTGAGTGGTGGAACGTATTGGGATGGTGAGTGGTGGAACGTATTGGGATGGTGAGTGGTGGAACGTATTGGTATGGTGAGTGGTGGAACGTGGTGGGATGGTGAGTGGTGGAACGTATTGGGATGGTGAGTGGTGGAACGTGGTGGGGGTGGCGCGTGGTCGGATGGTGAGACAGTGTCGCACCTGGGAGTGGTACCCTACTCTTTCCCCAGTGCCCACGCAATGCATTCATCCCACATCTATAGAATGCGGGAATGATGCATCCTCACATGCTCTTACATATACAACCCCCTTCCGCCCCCCCTCCTCCCTCCCCACGTCTTCCCACTCGCTGGGTAATGGCAGGAGTGGCAGAGACGCAAGGCACATCAGCCTTCACTGTACGATGGGTCCAAGTTCAGAGTGAGTCACATTTGAATTATCAACTTTAAAGCCATGATGTGCAACCTGCGAGTTCCAAGTGAAAACACGGTGAAAACCTCCTCTGCTTCCCTTGGCTGGGACATGTGTGAACCTAGAGTAGAAACACGGTTATCACGCGTGCATACACTACCTGTGACCTTCAAGCCTGAACACCAATGTCCACCCCTCAGCTTGGTGGCTCCTCGTTGCATCCCCGATTCTCCGCACTCTCCCTTGTGTCTTTCTTCACTCAAGATTCGCCCAGACGCCCCCATCCATGCCCCCATCCATGCCCCCATCCATGCCCCCATCCATGCCCCCATCCATGCCCCCATCCATGCCCCCATCCATGCCCCCATCCATGCCCCCATCCATGCCCCCATCCATGCCCCCATCCATGCCCCCATCCATGCCCCCATCCATGTCCCCATCCATGCCCCCATCCATGCCCCCATCCATGCCCCCATCCATGCCCCCATCCATGCCCCCGTCCATGCCCCCGTCCATGCCCCCGTCCATGCCCCCGTCCATGCCCCCGTCCATGCCCCCGTCCATGTCCCCGTCCATGTCCCCGTCCATGTCCCCGTCCATGTCCCCATCCATGCCCCCATCCATGCCCCCATCCATGCCCCCGTCCATGCCCCCGTCCATGCCCCCGTCCATGTCCCCATCCATGTCCCCATCCATGTCCCCATCCATGTCCCCATCCATGCCCCCGTCCATGCCCCCGTCCATGCCCCCGTCCATGCCCCCGTCCATGTCCCCATCCATGTCCCCATCCATGTCCCCGTCCATGTCCCCATCCATGTCCCCATCCATGCCCCCATCCATGTCCCCATCCATGTCCCCATCCATGCCCCCATGCACCCCTCCCCCAGTATGGCGGGTTCTCGTTGTCCCCGTCGTCTGCCGCTTCCCCCTCTGCTGCCACTACCATCGAAGCGCCTCAAGGGTCAGAAGCAGCGGAGCGAGGTGTGCAGGGCAGCCCCCGTGTGTGCCTGCACCTGGGTCTCACGGAGTACAAGTGAGGAAAATGGGGGAGATTGGAGAGTGGGGGAAGAGTGGGGAGAGGGGGGAGATGTGTGAGATGGGGGAGAGAGGGTGGGGGGGGGGGGGGGGGGGGGGAGGGTGTGAAATCCAGAGGAGGCAGGGGAAGTTGGTTCTTAGGGAAGGGGGATTCCAAGGAAGGGGGATTCCAGGGAAGGGGGATTCCAGGGAAGGGGGATTCCAGGGAAGGGGGATTCCAGGGAAGGGGGATTCCAGGGAAGGGGGATTCCAGGGAAGGGGGATTCCAGGGAAGGGGGATTCCAGGGAAGGGGGATTCCAGGGAAGGGGGATTCCAGGGAAGGGGGATTCCAGGGAAGGGGGATTCCAGGGAAGGGGGATTCCAGGGAAGGGGGATTCCAGCGAAGGGGGATTCCAGGGAAGGGGGATTCCAGGGAAGGGGGATTCCAGGGAAGGGGGATTCCAGGGAAGGGGGATTCCAGGGAAGGGGGATTCCAGGGAAGGGGGATTCCAGGGAAGGGGGATTCCAGGGAAGGGGGATTCCAGGGAAGGGGGATTCCAGGGAAGGGGGATTCCAGCATACACCTGGGCCTAACGGACAACAAACAAGTGAGGGAGGAGGGAAGTGATGGGAGAGGGGTAGGCTAGGGAGTGGGTAGTCAGCAGCATGCACTTGGGTTGGGCCTCACGGACAACAAACGATTATCCAGTATGTGCGTGCATGTGTGCCAATGTGTGTGCGTGCATGCGTGCATGCACTGGGGCCTTAACAGGGGGAATCGTTAGAAATGGGTGGGGCGGGGGGACGGGGACTGCCAGTGAGAAATGAGCGTTTCAGCTGAGAGCTGAGGCACTGTTCAAGATGTGGGTGGGGCATGCCTTAGCTTGCAGACAGCGTGAAATATCAGGAGTTGAAGGGTGAGGGGGGAGGTGGGAAATGCAGAGGACTTAAGAATGGCCAGTCAGCCCTGTGCTGGTTTTGGTCTAATAACTCAACCAAGTGGGCTGGTCTGTTTTGTGAGTCGTAAAAAAACACCTGGTTGATTGACAGCATTTTGACCAGATGGGCCGGATTGGAACGCAGCCAAGCTTAATTGGGACGCCTCAATCACAGATGCTGGGGTGAGGACCCTCATATGGTGAATCAGTTTGATTACTAATAATAAGCTGACTTGTCAATGGTGAGCAGGTGCGCTGCTGAAAACACTACACCCCACATTAAATCATGCAAGTGTTTGTATTTTAGGATTTTCTTCCCATCACCCCCTCTTCATCTCCCCTTAACACCCCATCATCTCTCTGTCCTCGCTCTTCTCACCTTCCACTTCTCACCTCTCACCTCCCATGGCCCCATCAGGAGCCTCATCACAACCAACCTCTGCTCCGACTGGCAAAGCTTCCTCGCACCGCCCCTCTCTGCCAGCGCTGCTGCCAAGCGCCTCAAAACAGGCGAGGGGACGGGCAGCAGGGGGACAGGAGGTGCAGACGGGGCGACTGTGGAGGAGGGGGGTGGGGAGGGAGCGAGCAGGGAGGAATCAATGGAAGGGAATTCCTGGGAGTGTGGTGCTGGCGATGGGCCTCAGACCTCTAAGATGGCTCAAGATGGCGATGCTACTGCTGCTGTTGCTTCTGACGCTGCTGACCCTGCTACTGCCACCACCTCTGCTGCAGCTGTCTCTGGTAGCACATCCGCCACCAACAGCCCCACCGGGGTCCCGCACTCTCACAGCTCCCATGAGTGCCCCCATCGCAAGGAAGAACCCAGTAACCACATGGCTGCATGTGCCACGTGTCAGCAGGCCATAGGCCAGCGCGACGCGCAAGCATGCCAGCACATGGGGGATGCGCTGGGGAATGCGGCGCTGGTGGTGACGGCTGATGGGTGCTTCCTGCTGCTGCAGCGCGGCACGGCTGTGGGTGAATTCCCAAACTGCCCGGTTTTTCCTGGGGGACACCCGGAGGTAACACCATTCTCATACCCCTTGTTCACACCCCTCTTTCCCCCAACCCTCATTGTATGTTCTCCGCATTCCATATATCCCCTGCAGTTTTCAAAGATTGTCTCCCTTCTTGCTCTCTTCCTCCCCACCCCACGCGCCACTGCAGCCATCAGAGGCAGGCATCTCCACCACACCAACGTCACCCCCTTCCCAACATTCCCCTGCCAACCCCCAATCCTCCACCATTCCTTCCCCTCACACCTCCACTGCCTCCCCTCCTCGCTCTCCTTCTGACTCCTCCTCATCGCCCACGCTGCTCAACCTCACCATCGCGCATGAGATGTTTAAAGGCATGAAACGAGAAGTAGAAGAGGAAACAGGCGCCCCTGCTGACTCGCTGGTAAGCTTTCCTCCTCAACCCCCCCCCTCACTCTCTCCTCGTACTCATTCGCTCTCACACTCGCTCCCGCCCCCTATCCTACCAATTCATCGCCCTCACTGCTCAACGCCACCGTCACGCATGAGATGGTTGAAGGCATGAAGAGGGATGTGGAGGAGGAGACCGGCGCCTATGCTGACTCGCTTTCATCCTCACGTTCACTCTCACCATCTCCCATCTGCCACTTTGCCTTCTCTCCGTAGCACATACCAAGCTGAGAGCTGCCTGTTGCCTGGAACATGTAATTGGCCGCCATGTTCCTCTGCCACTTCTCGCTTGCCCATAGATGTTGCTGCTTCTTTCCCACTTCACCGCCGTTACTTCTTCCTCCTTTCCTTCTCCCCCCCCCAGCACAGCATGCTCTTCCTGAGTCTCTGCAAGCGAAGGGAGAACATGCGATTGCTCGCCATGTTCCTCTGCCACGCTTCACCACCCATGCACTTCACTTCCTGGGTCTGTTCATGTTCCCCACCTTGTCTCCCCCCCCCCTCTCGCCTTCCCTCCGCAGCACGGCATGCTCTTCTTGGGGCTGTGCAGGCGAAGGGAGAACGTGCGGTCGCTCGCCATGTTTCTCTGCCACACCTCCCTCACGGCACCCGAGGTGCTCTCTCGCTACGCCTCTGCGCAGCACAAGTTCGAATCCACCAGCCTCCGAGCCGTGCCGCTGGTATGGCGTCGGGCGGTGTGCCTGTATGGCTTGACGTGCTTGTATGGGGGTGCAGGGGAGGAGGTGTGCTTGTAAAGGGGATGCATGAAGCATGTATAGTGATCATTGTGGGTGGGTGCTGATTACCCCTGGGGCCCTCCCTTGCAACGCCTCTGCGCAGCACAAGGTTGAGCCTGCCAGCGTCAGGGCTGTGCCGGCACTGTTTAGGGTTTGGATACCTCTTAATTGCTTTAGTTTTTTTAAGAAAGAGTATCTGTAAAAGTGGGTTACTGGTATGACCTGTGTGTGGGATGGTTTTGAACAGAACCTCAAGCATAGGCCACATACCAGTTAGCTAGCCCCTGTCTCTCTGCTCTCCAGAGCTATGCCCCGAGGCTGTTCTTTGACGCTATCTTGAGCTGCATGCACAGCGTCGATAGCAATGTCTGCTGCTATCTTGCCTCGACTCCCCCGGATTATCTCCCCTCAATGCCAAGTGCCTGCTCTCGGTGCCACCACTCTCATTACGCCTCTCTTCTCGGTGCTCTCATCCCCCCCTTGTAGGCGGCGTTGCTGACAGAGGCGTCCTCCATGCCAGGCTGTCACATGGGCGGCGCTGTGCTGGCGTACTGCCACCTCATCCTGCATGGCCATCTGCCGCCCACGTAGCCAGCCATCATGAGACGGCCCATGCATGTAACCCCATGCATGTAACCCCATGCATGTAACTGCCCATGCATGTAACCCCATGCCTGCAACCGCCGATGCAAAAACCGCCCATGAATGAAAGTTTTTATGTGTGCAACCATGGACGTATGGTAATCAAGCCATGTGTGTTAGCGAACCACGCATGCAACAGCCACATGCATACTTGGAGAAGTTTCAAGGTAAGCTGAACAAAGGCTATCTACCCACTTGTATAGCAATTCCGCGTCAAATTCATTTTAGTGGAGAGTGTTAAAAGAGCTGCATTTCTTATGACTGTCGTGTCAGATAACGTACCGGTAGGATGTACACATCCAACAGCAACAACCCTAACTTTAGTGACAGTGATTGCCCCACACGCACTACTTGTCGTACCGTATGTTGGTACAACCTCTATTATGCTAATTGACAGTGCCGTAATTGACCCACACACTAGTACTATGTTTCAACGACCCCAACTTTATGCTAACTGACAATGTGACCCACACACTAATATGTTGCATGCTACTTCAAACCCTCGTACTGTTGCACTAACCCCACAGCTGAAGGGTGGCAATCCTCGATTATAGGGCCTTTTAGCACAACCGACAAGGTGCAAGCAATAATGGAGCACATCAGATCGGACGGTCTGTATGCTATGGAATGGTCTGCGTGAGATCGGACAATGAGCATGTGATTAGAGCGGTAGAGCTGCACAGCAGCAGGTACTGGGCAGAATCATATTCCCTCGGTGTGTCTCTGCTCACATGTTCTGGGTCACGCACCTGCGGTCAGCTCAAGCCGATCGCCTTCTGTCTCCTCTCCCACCTACTCCCCTGATCTGCTCTTCTCGTTCTCCCTCCTCCCGTGCCCAAACACCACTCACGGAATCTGCACCTGCCAAAAAAAACATTAGCAGGAGTTCAGTTATAGCGTAAATAGGAAATTATCAACTACCATCCTCTATCGTGTAGTGATTCCATGTGTGTAGCAACAAACAGATACCAAACACAAAAATCGTGCAAATGTAACGTTGCCAACATTCCAGCGGACTCTCAACCCCGCTGAGATACTCCAACACTAGACCGCTAAGGCACAGGACCAGCGGTTTCATAGAAGGCTTGCAGTGAGCATACATCAGCTGAAGTGCGACTCGAACTGAACAAGTGGAGTGCATGGTCGGGATGGCAGACACATTGAGATCATCGAGCATGTACACATTCATAACAGTGGATGGTACACATTCAGGTGTCCCATCCATCCCCCACACACGTGACGTGGGCCACATGTTGGAGAAAGACAACAACCATAAACGATGTGCTGGTGTGCTCACCTCCTCAGCATGAATGGCCCACTTCTGCGAATCACCACAAATGTTCTCAATCATCTCATTGTGTGGCAAGATCTGGCAGATCTTGTCAGGGAACACTCCCAGCAGCCGCAGCTGTACTTCCGGGTGAGAGAGCTCCACCTGGCAGCCGGGACAGGGAGCAACATGGATTAGTTACACCTAAGAGAGGTCAAGCAAGAGTTACACCTAGGAGTGATTGAATGGTACAGCAACTCAAACTGTATGAGAATATACCACCAACTCATTGAAGTGTAAGAAAATCAGAAATGAGTTTTCTAGGTTAAGAGAGCTCACGTGCTGCTACAAGGTAAGCTCATGTTTGCAGCTCCCTTGAGTACTTACAAGAGATAATTTCACCAGCATTACCTTAGTCTTCAATTGTGCAAGCACATCCACGACTGTAAATTGCCGGTAGAGCTGGATTTTGTGCATTGATACCTGAAAACCAACAACCTCAAACAAAGAAGAGAACAGCGAGGAATTAAATCAAGGTAGGCACGAACAGGACATGTCTCAGCTTCTGGAAAGCCGGGCCAAATTCCGGCTTTGGTCGAACCAAGAAGCTGACATGCACAATTTGAATGCTCTTATAACTTCAAATTGCTGGCTTGGCAACAGTCAATGCACCCACATGTGTATGTATGTCTACACTTTGAAATGGATCTGAGAAGTTCATACTAAAGAGTGAAAGATCTGTGACAGTAGAGTAACAAAAAGAGCCAATCACACGGGGTGAAGAGAAATAGAGATGATGGCAAATGTAGGCTATCTATTTGTGATGTACAAAAAGCAACCCAACTGGCAAGACCTTACCTTTGTGCTTGCGCCTCCCATATCGAAACTTTGCTCGCACCTTGTTTTCCTTGTCATGAATTGTAACATCGAGAGTTGCAACCGTCGAGAGTTTCTCCAGCTCTGGCAGTGGCACATCGAGCGTCTCAAAGTAGAGGATGCTTGATGCCTGAGAAATGGGGCCCGGAGGAACAGAAAGGAATACTTTAGAGAAGTATGCCAGATAGCCTATGTTTGTCTTGAAGTTCAGAGCATGCCTGAAGTCTGAAACCACAGGAAAGAGCACGAGGTTGATAACCGTGGAGTCATGACACACACAGGCTGCCAATCCCTCTATATTATATTCACACATCATCCGCATATTAGCATCGTTCAAAGGCCTACCTATACAGGCTGTCTGTGTATGTACCTGATCGTCGTGGGCAAGCATATCACCAAGGCACTTCGCCCCTGGGTACTTGATGGGGGGCAGCCTGGGCTGCAGTGAGTAGCAGTTGTGTGCGGTGAGCCGAATCTTGGAAGAATCAGCTAGTCCGAGCTTCTCTGCTAGTCGCTCCACCACTTTGTCATATGCGTCCTGCTCGGAACTGGGCAAACGATGAAACAAACCGTGGTAAGAAAGTGTTTTCTAAGAGACACTCATGCGTGCTCTAGTAGGGATTTGAGTAAATGAACACAACCGTGGAAGAACATGTTCTGGGAGTAACCAAGACAAACTCATATGTGTCCTCTCCTGCTCAGAACTGACCAGATAACAAAGAAACGTGGTGTCAAGTGCAGCCAGCCAAGCTCCTATGCGAGCCCACCAGCGAAGGAATACATTTCCGAACAACTATGTGACAAGTTGAGGAAAAGTAGAGATTTCTCTTTTTTTTTGGAAACACAACAAAACTTACAGCAGCAAGCAGAACGCATCGTCTCTGGGCTTTTCCAAGCGTCGGAAGTGCACCACCTGCTGGGTCTGCACGAACTCGAGGAACGAGGGCACGTCCGGGTGCTTCACTATTCTTTTCTGTGCTGCGGTGAGTGCCTTCTGCACGCACAGAATGGCGCCTGCCTCCAACTGCATGTCCTTGAAGTTGGTTGTATTGTCGATAGGATCACACTCCACATCCGTGCCAAAGTTCCTCTCCTGGAAAATTAAGTCGTGGGGGAAAAGAGAAGGCAAGAGAGAGTGAGGGCAAGAGAAAGTAGACGAGGGGACAGAGGGCGATCGAAAAAGGTTGAGGGGAAAAACGGCAAGCAAATAGGAAGAGTGGAAAAGGGGCAAAAACAAGGGGAGAGCGGGCAAGAAAACAGGAAAACAGGGAGAGTCGAGAGAGAGTAAGGAAAGAAAAACGAGGCGAGGGAGAGTAATGGACACGGGTAGAGGGAAAGGAGACGAGGACGAGCGGATATATGGCAAATGAATGAGGAAGAAGAAAGGGAGAGCACAAGAATGAGGCAGGGGGTAGAAAGGGCAACTGAAAAGAGGAAGAGCACAGAAAGAGCAAGATAGAGAGGAAGAGGGGAGAGAGGGGAAGGAAAAAAGGAGAGGGGAGAGAGGACAAGGGAAAGCTGTAGAGGGGAGAGGGGGCAAGAGAAACGAAGGAACTGGGAAAAAGGCAAAGAAAACGAGGGAGAGGGAGATGGCAAGGAAAACGAGGGAGACAAGAGAGAGAGCAAAGGAAAGAGGGAGAAGGGAGGGACAGCAAGGGAAAGAGACGGTGATGGGAGAGGCGGCAAGGGAACGTCGGAGAGGGGAGAGGGAGCAAAGCCAAGAGGAATTGGAAGAGAGATGGACGGCTCTTTCACACAAGCAAGCAATATCAACACTGCTATCTTTGCCCAACATATGCTCCTCGCCAGAATACAAACCTCAAAAAGCAAGACGTCCTTGTTGGCAATAACAAGGCCACACAACTCTTTGATCCTCTTGAGCACATCCGCAGGCTTGTTGGTGGGCTTCACAATGAGGTGGCCTGCATACCTGGGGTGGTGGGAACAGGGAGGAGGAGGAATCAGGAAACATTAACAAGCAAAAAGCCTCAGAGGCTGTCAGGGACAAGGTTGGGAACGAAAGGAAGAGATGAAGGGAGGGAGAGGTTTGGCTGCGTCCGAGGAAGATCATCAATACGAGAGAAGAACATTGGGCCAACAGAAGGGAGAAAAAGAAAGACATTCACACGTCTCCCAACCAGTACTTACCTAATGGTGCTGTGCATCGGATCGTAGAGCTTGACAAAGACCACAATGTCATCCTGCGTCCTTACCTACCAAGGAACAATGGGTGATACCGGGTCAGGGATACAGCCCAGGGTGAATCATAGACGTGCTGATTGTGGAAAATCACTGGAAGAAACACAGGAGCGCCTTAGGATTTATTGCAGTTTGACTTGACTTGCATGTGCAAAAGTATTGGCTTAAATAAGTCCACTAGCAAAGAGGAAACCACTGGAACACAATGAAGATTGGGTGTGGAGAGCAAGCCTATAGAAAAAAAGAGGTGTGTGGAAAAGGTTGAAAAGGACAGAGGGACGACACAAATTCACCATTCACGAATACGATAATCGGCAGCACTCATGGCTAGTCATGATCATACAGCAATGAAGTGAAATGGCGGTGCCAGAGTGAAGTGACGTAATAGGATGGACGTGAAAAGGGAGTGGCAGCGATGTGGCTGGCTTACAAAAGAGGGAGTGCTATCCAGGAACAGTCTTAGGACTCTGGTGCTGCCCTTCCTGAGAGATTCCCTCAACGCCCCCACCTGGTAAAGACACAAACAGGGAGACAGAGTTTACGTTCCCCCTTCCATTGTACCACTCTAAAAAACGGATGTCAATTCTATGCATGTCATCTCATCTCCAGCTCCAATCTTCTCCCACAGCCTTCCTCCCACCGACTTACAGTCTTCTCACAGTCATCTTCCCACCACTCCCATATTGACCTTCCATGTGTCCCCATCTTCCCTACTCACCGTCATCTCCTCCTCCTCTGCACTCAAGTGTTGGTTCAGACGATACATTTCGCTCCACCTCTTGCCCCACACCCAGAACCGCTGCCTGGCAACCGGAATTCCCATCTCTTTCTCCACATCTGCCTTGAATTCCGGAAACCGCATCTGCTTCTTCACCCGAAAGCTCCTGACTAGAGCATGGTCCACAAGATTAAGATAGACGTTTCCTCCAATCTGCTGCCGTAGGTCCTCATCCCGTGCCACCTTGACCTCTGTGAGCTGATCCTCCTCCTCCCTCTTCCGCTTCAACCGATCCTGTGCCAATGGGGAAGCAGACAGCCAAGGCGTGCATGGGAAATCCAAACTAGTATGCTGAAGCGCACCAAAGCGAGCAGGAAATAGAAGCAAAGTCCATCCAAGGCACAACACGGACAAAGTGTAAAAGATGACCTGACCAAAACAGAGAGATAAACGGAAACGACACGAGATGCTTGCTTGCTGTGGGCGACTGACAGGACATGAGGTCAGCAACAAAAGATACCAGCACAGGAGTCACAAAAGCAACGTCACAAAACACCAAGAGGAAGAGACAACAAGTCAATGACAGGCCACAGGAGCATAAAAACATAACAGAACACCAATACACAAGGTGCAGGACACCACCTACTTGCAATGGTTGAGCGATGCCATTCACATCGTTGCTGCAAAGGATCTTCTCCTGGTCGGATTGTCGGATGTAGACCAGCATGTAGGCATTGGAGTAGAGCTGGGTGGCGTTGGAGGGTGTGCAGTTGAGGACAGAACAAGAGCCAAACAATAGAAAGAGTGGGAAGGGGGGTTAATCACACCTGAATCACTTTTTGCTCATTTTGCATAAAAAAAAGCTTGAAGCCCTCAGGCTCGGGCCAAGTGTACAAAATTGGGCGAAACAGAAACTACGAAGCCTCTTACCACAATCTAGGTCTAGGGGTTTTGCTCAATAAAAAACCCTCTGAGGCGACTCTGTCAGTGGTTGCAAGCAAGCAAGCGTCCCAATATTTTCAAGTGACCGCTATGACGCCCAGAAAATGTAGTTCACGAAGCACATACAATAAAACACCCCCTTTAGATTGTCAATTCCAGTTTAGACAGCCATGTCTTCAGTCACCGGCAGCTTAACAAAAGCACATGCAAAACCACAGTTGAAATTCCTCATTTCAGGATCTAATTTAGACATCAATTGTTGTTCCTAAGAACAGTATGCATACCTCCTCATCGCCCTTGAATTCCACCTTAGTCACTTCCTCGTTGACAAACTTGTACCTGGTTTTTTCGGAAGAGAGAGTGGGGCGTTGAAGAAAGTGATGTGGCGAGTGACAAGGACTGATGCACAACAAGCAAGAGAGAGGGAACATCACAAACGTCTGAGGCATCCATGTGCGTACTACTCTACACATACAAAAAGAATATCATTGTGCAAAACAATTATAAAGAAGAAAGAAAATAAGGAGTAAGTATGCACCCAAGAACCTTGGACAAAAGTAAACCCCAAGTCGGTAAGGGACGAATGGTGTATGGGAGGAAAAACAAACAAGCAAACAAAACAGGGAAGAATAGGAAGAATGAGAGTGAGGAAGTAGCATAACAAGAAGAACCAATGCAGGAAAAAGGTTTCACAATTTAATCAACTTTCACAATCACCCTTGGTCATACGCAGAGCATACCATTGAGAACCAAGGTTCGGACGAATCAAGGCATAGCAGTGGCCATCATTGACTTCATTGGTGTGGAGCACAACACTGTGAATGCGAAGATGAGTGGGAGGGGCCCAGCATAACGGGCATGGTTACGGTCAGCATTTGTGGTCAGGTTATTCAAATGCTTTGGGAGAAAAGAGGCAGATAACCGTTGCGGAATCCAATCTGTCCCTTACATTCCAAAAAAAGCCTCCGGGCATTTCCCCACATTGAAAATGTTTGAACAAGGAATAATCTTCGCCGTCCCAAACCAGCAAGCTATTGCGCTTCCCCACAGCCTCGGTACTCCGCATTGTTTCGTCAAACCCATGTGGATCTGGCATTTCATCATGAGAGCGTGTTCATTGGAAAAGAGTTCAATGACTGCACGTTGCCCCAGAAGACGTGCAGACATCTGTTTCCATGAACCGAGATGAAGCTGGCCATCTAGGAAAAACCAATCTAAGGTTTCAGAAAAATCGATCAAACCGGAAAAAAAAAAAAAAAAAAAACAAACACACACACACACACACACACACACACACACACACACACACACACACACACACACACACACATACACACACACACACACACACACACACACACACACACACACACACACACACACACACACACACACACACACACACACACACACACACACACACACACACACACACACACACACACACACACACACACACACACACACACACACACACACACACACACACACACACACACACACACACACACACACACACACACACACACACACACACACACACACACACACACACACACACACACACACACACACACACACACACACACACACACACACACACACACATACACACACACACACACACACACACACACACACACACACACACACACACACACACACACATACACACACACACACACATACACACACACACACACACACACACACACACACACACACACACACACACACACACATATGAGCACGAACCGAACTCAAACATGTTTGTGCAAACCTTTTCGAACCTTGCATGTTGGTCGAAAATACCGAACATGTTTGCTCGAACTTATTTCAGACTTTTAAGGTTTGAGGTTTGAGTATACAATGGCGAACCCTAAAGGTTTGCTCAAACCTTCTAAGGTTTGAGCGAACTCGAACCTTTTCAGGTTTGAGGCTTAAAATGATGCACATGTTACTCTACAACACATGCATGTCTAATGGTTTATGGACAGCATCATGTTCTGAGAAAAAACAAATGAGAGGGTAAAAAAAAGTCCCGACACTCCAATCAAGAATAGTCTAGAGTTGATCTACATCACAAAAATGAAGTGTCAGAATACCATGCTTGAAGAGTGATTGAAGACTTTGTTCGGGTGTTTTCAAAATGTAGGGGTTCGAACTTTTCTAGGAGAAAGTATCGAACTTTTTTTGGATGATGTGTCAGATGCTTTTCGGATGATAGGCAGGTTCCGAAATGGTTCTGAATCCATGCGACGTAAGTTCTCCTGGAGTTTCGGAAAACTCGTTTAGGACATGATTGTGTTACATCTTGACATTTTTGCAGTGTAAACCTGGTGCTTTGTTGCACTTTGTTATAAGTTTGAATTGGATTCTCCTGTGTTTTGGCAAAATGCAATCATGTGTAAATAATATAGTAGGATAACAGTGTCATGGAAGTTTCCTGACCTTGTACACAGCCATAATTATGCTTTGCACAGCATTCAATGTTACCTTCACCCATCACCACAAAGCAGTTTCCATGGGTTCCATCGACATACGAGTCTTGCTCGCAAAAATCACGACATTGGGAATGTAAAAGGCAACTACAACATTGTTTTCGTTCCTAGCACTACACCACTAAACCCTACAATGCTGGTCCAGCTACTCTTCTGCTCCTACCTACAATGCTGGTCCAGCTACTCTTCTGCTCCTACCTACAATGCTGGTCCAGCTACTCTTCTGCTCCTACCTACAATGCTGGTCCTACAAGGCCCACCCCACTGCTTGCCGTCCATTGCTTCCCCCGGCTCCTGCTTCCCTGCTGGTCCACCCCACGTCTGCAACCCATCTGGTGACCATTCTCCACTCCCCCCAATGTTGTGACTACTCTACTCCTCCCTGCTGCTGGATAAGTCTCAGCCCTCCCCCCCCCCCCCCCTGCTTGACCCGCTGCTGCCTCTTCTTTGCTCCCCCGCTGTTGTGTCTACTCGACTTGACCTGCTGCTGCCTCTTCTTTGCTCCCCCGCTGTTGTGTCTACTCTGCTTGACCCGCTGCTGCCTCTTCTTTGCTCCCCCCGCTGCTGTGACTACTCCGCGTGACCCACTTGCCTCTTTTTCTCCCCCCGCTGCTGTGACTACTCTGCGTGACCCACTGTTGCCTCTTCTTTGCTCCCCCCGCTGCTGTGACTACTCTGCCTCTTCTTTGCTCCCCCCTTTGCTGTACCTTCTCCACTCCCCCCAATGCTGCCACCACTGCTCCTGATGCTGCTGCCCCTTGTCCACTATCCCCACTGCTCCGTGACTACTCTTGTTCCCCGGCTGCTGCCTCTTCTTTATCCCCCCCCCCCCTGTTGTGACTACTCTGCTTGACCCGCTGCTGCCTCCTCCTTGCTCCCCCCCTTGTTGTGACTGCTTTGCTTGACCCACTGCTGCTTCTTTGCTCCCTCCTATTGTGACTACTGTGCTTGACCCGCTGCTGCCCAATCTTCGCTCCCCCACTGAGGTGGCTACTCTTCTTCCCCCACTGCTGCTTCTTCTTCGCTCCCCCTCTTGGTGTGACTCCTCTGCTCCCCCCCCCTGCTGCCCCATCTCCACTCCCCCCACTGTTGTGACCTCTGCTCCCCCTGCTGCTGTCCCTTCTCCGCTTCCCCGAATGCTCTGTGACTACTCTGCTCCCCCCGCTGCTGCCTCTTTGGAGCTCCCTCCACTGTTGTTATTACTCTAATCCCCCACTGCAGCTCGTTTTGATCTCACCCCCTGTTGTGGCTCCTCTGTTTTGACCCACTGTTGCCCCTTCTCCGCCCCTCCCACTGCTGTGACTGCTCTACTTCATCTCTTGTTGCCGCTTCTCCTCTCCCCTCACTGTTTGATTACCTCTGCCCACTCGACTCATGCTCCTCCCAGAATCACAACATTGCTGCCACCAAGCAGATCCCCTATTGCCTCTCCCAGCTGCAATGCCTCCGCTGTTCCCCCTTCTTTCGTGCCTACGCTGCTCTCCCCATTGCTTCTCCTCCACATCACACCCCGGTCCAGTTCAGCAGCTGTCCCCTCCAGTGCTGCTTCTATGGCCCCCCACTGCTTGTCTTCCTCTGCTTGCACTGTTTACAGGTCCGTTGCACCCGGAGTGCGCGTGCTCCTGTACTCCTCAAAGCCCGACTCGTGGACAAAAAGGCCAAATGGCCCCCACTCAAATCCCTTCATGCGTGGGTTGTAGGTCGGACTGGCCCGGGTGAAGTGATCCCTCACCACGCTCTTCACAATGGCGCGGACACTTGTCACCCACTTGGTGTTCTTGCGGTGGGAGTTGGTGAGGTTCATGGTTGTCTTCTTCGTTTTTGACAGCCCATAATCGATCTGTTCAGGAGGGCATGCAATGATTTGTCAATCATGGTTCGAGCATGGGAAGCAGTGAAGTAGTGGGAGCACCATGCAAGGCATGCACGGATGGTAAACACAGTGAGGGATTGGTTGTGAGCCTAAGCATGCAAGGTGGTAACAATAAGAGGTGTATGGCAGAATCTTGCTGACATTGGGGTGCAGGGCTGAAGTTTGGGGCATGCTAAGACAAGAATATAGAGAGCCTTGTGGGCTGCCATTCATGCTGGGTTTCAAGAATCAATGAAAAAACGTGATTGAACACGAAACCAGCAATGTTGGGAAACGCAAAATGGGGTTGGGAGCAAGCCGGTATGGGTGAATCTAGTAATTGGGAGGTGTTATACATGCATGTATTAGGAAACCGTGAGTGCACCATGTAGTGCACCATGTAGCGCACCATGCAGCGCACTCAAAGAAACAGGAAACTTAGTCTAAAGGGGTGTAGTGCACAAAGGGTTGCTAGAAAACGCAAATGAATGGGTAAGGGCTTGGGTTGAGGGGGGAAAGGTAACTTACCACCATGATGATCCATGCGATATGATATGCTTTGAGACACAACTTTGTCCCCACAGCATGTTCACCAAACGCGTCCATGGCAGCATCGAAGAAACACTGGTTCGCAAATGGGAGGCCACTCTCATCATCGTTCCCCCAGGTGCTTAGGGGATCATCAGCACCTACGATGTTTAGGGGGGGGTCAGGGAGGGAACACTGTGGGGTATTCGCATGCCATACCGGCCGGATGAATGAAAGGACTCAAAACTGAAGAGAAACACAATGACCAGAGAAGTAGGATGGGGTGTAAGCCGCCCGAACTCATGCAACAACAAGAATTATGCAATAAAATACTCACCAGGGCGGTAGGTGTCCCACAGGTCGCACTTCAGCTCCACATCGATGTGTAACTCCGAGGCACGCAGTCCGGTAACTGCCACCCCCAAAGCTTCGAGCACTGCCCTTTTGATGTAGAATGCACGCTCATTCTTCCATTGCGTCCAAACGCGCTTGAAAGTGTCAATGCGCTTTTGGTCCTGCATGGCCTCCTTCAACTGAAGCAATGACACCACATAGTTTTCCGATATAACCGCATGCAAGACCAAGATCCTCTTCTCAAACGATGGGTAGAAGTTGATCTCGTGGTCCTCAGCTTCCATACACATGCGATCCCTGGTTTTTTCGATGTAGAGCTAATGAAGTGTTCCAAAAAACGGGGTGTTGGGGAACATCCAATGAAAGGGGGAAACGGGAACTAAGGTTCGCATGGCATGCAGAGAAGGTGCAAATTATGATAAATGGGGAGCAGCGCATGCTTTGAATGTGACAAACAGAGATGAATGTGATGCAAAACAGAAGGATGGAGACCCGAGGATGGGCTGCCAGGCATGATACAGCCCATTCTGCCTAGTTATATCAGGTAGTTATGTGTTAATGATGGGCTGCCAGGCATGATAGTAAAGGGGAAACTGAGTTGGACGGGGTGTGACATATATGCAGTGAATGCGGAAACAACGATGGGTGTGGAGTATGGAAGAAGAAACATGTGATGAAAGAGGCTCGAAACGATGCAGAAACAGAGTGACTAGTTAAGTGAGGGCAACCTACCCTCAAATTCGTGGCAGTAGGCATCCCATGTCTCCTGGCGATTGGCTGGCCTTGTACAGCACTCTCGGCCACACACACCGGCGCAGGTTCCTGGGATTGCAGCTCACTGGATATTGCCTGCAGAGGTGGAACTGGTGTTCCTACTCCAGCTGAATTTCCCACAGGCTTTGGAGCAGCCTTCAGCTCCGCAATCTTCCTGTTGGCCTCCTGCAATGCCTGAAACAATTGCTGCATGCTTGCGTTGGGGGATAGAGCAGCACTACCGAATGGAAATACAATCGCCTCTCCCTCTTGCGTGCGCCGTGTGGAGTCTCCCGCAAGGTCAGGCAAGATATCAGATTTATGGTTTGTCTCACAACCAGGTCGACCGTCACCTGGCTGACATCCTGCACCATGATTGTCATTCGCAGCTGCGCGCTGCTGGTGTCCGACCTGCACGCCACTGCTCCGCTCGACCCCCTGCCTAGTGCTGCACTCCAGATCGTCTCTTCCACCATGCTTGCTATTGTCAGCAGCACGATGGAGTTCAACTTTCACGCCACTCCGCCCGCGAACCGGCTGGCCACCCTTTCCCCATGAGGACCCTGCAGCGAGTGCAGCATAGGGGTCGTCTGAAGCCCCCCGTTTCATCCTAATGTTCTCCCGTCGGTTCTCCGTTGTAGCATCTGCTGTGTTCCCCAAAACCCTCATGTCGCTGTAGAACCCAAGATCGGCGCTCAAAATACGCCGCTCCTTACGCACCCTGGTTTCCCCACGTTCCAAGCGCTGCGCTCTTGCATGTTCTCGGGCCCTCTCCCGCTTACGGCCTTTCTTTTCCTTCCGTGTGAGACCACGCTTTCCCCTCGATCCCTTTCGGCGTCCACCCCGAGCTTTGCTTCCCCCTCTCCTGTCTTCCTCCTCACTCTCCGACTCCAATTCCGCGTCCTCGCTTTCGTCTTCCTCCTCATCATCATACTTCTCCTCGCTCCCGGAGGAGCTCCCCGATTCCTCCTCCTCACTATCGTCGCCATCGGAAGACTCCTCCTTGACGGTTTTTTTCGTCCCAGCCCTGCGGCGCCGTGACTTCACTCCCCCTGACACGCCTCCCTGACCCCCCACCTCCGCGCCGCGGCTCTCTCTTCCACCGCCCACATGACCTCGATTTTTCTCAGCACCATCCGGTCGATCATCCGGTGCACTTGAGGGTGGGGATGCGTCACCCTTAACTTCACGCTCGCCCTGTTGCTCGCCCTGCGGTTCATGTCCTTTCGCAGGCGGGTGCTCCACTTCGTCTTCATCCTCTTGTCTCCCCTTTTTGTCTTTCTTGGCAACGAGGGTACCTACAATGCAAAAACATAGATAGGAGCTGCTCATGTCAGACGAGTGCAGTACCTCTCTGGTTTGGATCCGGATTCAATCACGCTAATGATGAGCTACGGTAAAACAGATAAGACAAGACACAAGAACGATATAAAGAGCATGTCGCTTACCTTTCTTATCTGAAGAAAGTTTGCAATGGTCTAAGGGTTTCAGCTTATGACCCCTCTGCCCCCCACGTGATCCTCCGTGACTAGCGTAAGGCTCGTCCTCAGAATCATCACTGTCCGATGAAGAGTCACCTTCCGCCTCCTCAGCATCGCGCAGAGTAGACGTGTTCCTCCGGCGATACCTCACAACTAGCTGAGAGGTATTGTAAGGTGTCATCGTGTCATGCATCCTCTGTTCCGCTTCGGTTCTAGCGTCGCCCGGTGGCTGTAAAGCTCCTGCGCTTTCGAGGGGCGCACTAGCATTGGTTTGCTGATTGATAACACCGATGTCCGTCATTCTGCTAGCAATGACGCAAAATTTGACCGTTTAACAGTTACGAAACTGAGGAGTGCTTTACCAAAGAACAATCTTGTACAAATAGGTATTCAAGGAGCAAGAAACAGCAGCGCGCAATCTGGACGTGCCGTTCAGTACCGCATCGCGCAAGCTGGACGTGCCAACCAGTACTGCAGCGCGCAATCTCACTACGTGGCCGTGAATCGCGTCGTACAAGCCAGAACAGCGGCGCGCCATTGCTGGACGCGCCTTGCTGAGAACAACACCACCGCAACAAAGCATGACGTGCCTACTACGCGAACGGCAATGCGCGACTGCTATACGTGCCTACCACTAACAGAAATGCACCTCTAGCTGAAGTGCCAAAGGGAACATCGACTTCGACTAACAGGAAGTCGTTGCTTGACGTGCCTTCCGTAGGAGGGTATCGTGTCGATCACCGCAACCGATACCAGCAGGCGTTACGAGGTGCTTCGAACGTGAAGAGTATCGTGGTCTCACCTTCCTGTAGGAGAATTGGCATCAACATGCTTGTTCCTGTAATGAACTACCGGATGAAAGCACGTCGGGTAGTGGGGTTTGGTTGGTTGGGAATGCAGCGCCACACTTTTGCTGCCCTTAAAGTTGCATGGAACGCGCTGGCAGTCAGAATTACAATACTAAGCTACAGCAGCCTAATGGGCTAGAACGCCGTTTCGCCAACAATGCTTGATCTCCATTCTAAACGCCGGACCATAACTAGTAAGTACTTTGGCATTGAACGGGAATTGAACAACTGCCGCACCCAAAAAAAGCAATGTGACAACAGCAATTTGGCAGCGCGTTGTCGGCGCACGATGTGCGTTGGGAACCGGATCGGTTCAAGACATCGCGGCTCGAGAATACACCTCGCGGTTGCGTTGGAACCTCGCTTCCGTGGCAATGCGAGTTGAAGCAGGGATGTTACACGTGTCGTGACGTATGAGTTTTGCAATTACTGGTGATATTGTTTTAAAGGCTTACAGTCTCAATGCAATACAAAATAACATTCGTGCATCAAAATATAGTGCCAAAACAACCTCAGCAATATAATAAGTATCACAAAACGTGAGAAGCAAACGTCCCAAAGCAGTGTTCTGGATGCCACATTATTGCACATCTCTAAATATCCTGCATCTTTAGTCTCAAATATAGGGTGAATACATGGCGTGGCATCAATAACCGCATCATCTTATGGTCGTCCCCACCAGTATCAACGTTAGTTATCGAGAGCAAGCACTGTTACGTTAATATCAACAACTCGCATGCTGTGCACATGTTGCAGCCATGGGGAAGATAGAGCAGGCATTTGGGTCACATTTCTACATTATTTAGCTGATTCAAAGCATCGTATCTTGTGCGCAGCGGTAGGTGAGACGTTTTTCGTTTAGGTGTACAGTATGTGAAGCTTGCCTGCCATCCCTGCAGTAGGTTTTCCAGCAATACTGGCCCGCATCCTGCACTTCAGCCTACTCATCAGGTTTAGCATGACTCCAGCCCTCTCACCTCCCGCCATGGTGTGCCCCCAAGTGTCCTGACACTATGTAATGGTTGGCTTACAGCTTACCATCTGGTGCTAATCAGTTACCGTCTTGGTATGCAAGTATCCAAGAAACGATGAGCATTACGGTACTAAAAATCGTCAGGTGCTAATGCATGTCACTAACAAGCACTGGGCATGATTAAGGGTATCAACCAGCATGGACCGTGGCACATGCCTTGGCATAGACACAGGACCACTTAGCCAAGTCGTGACGATATTGGCGCCTCCACTGTCTTGGTGTCCCGGCCAAGACACACGCATTCAAGCTGTCGAACTTGGTCTCCACAAGCGTATGAATGACACGCATTACAAAAACACCACAGTCATTCTCGTTGTCCTGCTGACGCACCTGCAAAACGCACAAGTAACGGGTGGTGCTTCGATTAGGCGTCATCATGAGCAGCATTCTACATCCCCCCTCCTACTCCACGCACCCGCGCATCCCAAGCTTGTTCATGTGCAGCACCCAACACGATGTCCCCTACTCATCCGCGCATCCCATGCCTGTCCATGCGCAGCTCCCAACTCTCCCTCCCCTCCTCATCCGCGCATCCCATGCCTGTCCATGCGCAGCACCCAACTCTCCCTCCCCTCCTCATCCGCGCATCCCATGCCTGTCCATGCGCAGCACACAACTCTCCATCCCCTACTCATCCGCGCATCCCATGCCTGTCCATGCGCAGCACCCAACTCTCCCTCCCCTCCTCATCCGCGCATCCCATGCCTGTCCATGCGCAGCACCCAACTCTCCCTCCCATCCTCATCCGCGCATCCCATGCCTGTCCATGCGCAGCACACAACTCTCCCTCCCCTACTCATCCGCGCATCCCATGCCTGTCCATGCGCAGCACCCAACTCTCCCTCCCCTCCTCATCCGCGCATCCCATGCCTGTCCATGCGCAGCACCCAACTCTCCCTCCCCTCCTCATCCGCGCATCCCATGCTTGTCCATGCGCAGCACCCAACTCTCCCTCCCATCCTCATCCGCGCATCCCATGCCTGTCCATGCGCAGCACACAACTCTCCCTCCCCTCCTCATCCGCGCATCCCATGCCTGTCCATGCGCAGCACCCAACTCTCCCTCCCCTCCTCATCCGCGCATCCCATGCCTGTCCATGCGCAGCACCCAACTCTCCCTCCCCTCCTCATCCGCGCATCCCATGCCTGTCCATGCGCAGCACCCAACTCTCCCTCCTATCCTCATCCGCGCATCCCATGCCTGTCCATGCGCAGCACACAACTCTCCCTCCCCTCCTCATCCGTGCATCCCATGCCTGTCCATGCGCAGCACCCAACTCTCCCTCCCCTCCTCATCCGCGCATCCCATGCCTGTCCATGCGCAGCACCCAACTCTCCCTCCCCTCCTCATCCGCGCATCCCATGCCTGTCCATGCGCAGCTCCCAACTCTCCCTCCCCTCCTCATCCGCGCATCCCATGCCTGTCCATGCGCAGCTCCCAACTCTCCCTCCTCTCCTCATCCGCGCATCCCATGCCTGTCCATGCGCAACACACCACCCTCCCTCCCCTCCTCATCCGCGCATCCCATGCCTGTCCATGCGCAGCTCCCAACTCTCTCTCCCCTCCTCATCCGCGCATCCTGTTGGAATCACTGAACAGGAATGAATGAACTAGCAATGAAAAGAGTACAAGTACCTAACCCTAGAATTGTGTACCCCCTATAGGCTAACCCACTGTAGCCTAAACTAACACAACATATATAATGTTTGACACACCCCCATAGGCAAAGTGGGGGAGAACTAGGGGTCACAAGACCAGTCAAGGCAAAGCAAGGCAAAACAAGCTCAGGGTGGATCTCAAGGATACCACACAAATTCCGAGCACAAGCAAGTGGTCACAAGACCAGTTCACATGCAGGTTTACATATAGAGATCACAGTACAACAGACTCAAGAAGTAAGCAAGTGAGGTCCAGTAGGCACAAGGCCTAGAAGAGTGCAAAAGCGCTGATGGTCACAAGGCTGAAGCGCCTTGGTGAACACATCAGCAGTGTTGGCCTCAGAGGCCACGTAACGCAGGCGAAGCTGACCACGCTGCTACAGCTCTCGAGCGAGGAAGTAACGCAGAGCAATGTGCTTCGTTCTGTGCTCCAGTCTGTGCTCCTCACACAAGGCAATGGCTGCCTTGTTGTCGACGTACAGCACTGGAGGAGAACGAGGCTGCTCTCCAAGGTCGGTCAGCAAGTAGGTGAGCCAGCGTAGCTCCTGGGCCGCCATGGCTGTGGCGTAGATCTCAGCCTCACAACTGGAGCTGAGAACAGAAGAAGAGCGAGTAGAACGCCAAGAAACAGAACCAGAGCCAAGACTGAAGGAGTAACCCTGAGACGACTGCTGAGTAGCCTGGTCGTCTGCCCAAGAAGCGTCTGAGTGCCCAGTGAGAACAACTGGGACTCGCCCTCCAAGCACTAGCCCCATGCCCGACGTACTGCACAAGTAGCGCAACACCCTCTTAGCTGCATCCATGTGCTCCTTCCGGTGACGGCCGGGAGCGACATAGCGTGCAAGAATGCTGAGAGGGTATGCAAGGTCTGGTCGAGTGCAGGTCATCAGGTACATGAGGCAACCCACAAGCTCTGGATACGGGCCACTCGGCTCTACGGACTCATCCGAAGGCAGAGCTGAGAGCGAGTGACCGGTAGGCAGAGGAGTGGGCTGAGGCGAGGAGTACGTGAAGCGGAAGCGCTGAAGGACCTGCTGCACCATGTGTGACTGAGTCAAGGTGATGGTGCGGCGTGCTCTGTCCCGGGTGATCCGCAAGCCAAGATAGCTTGTCAGTTCACCCAGGTCTGGGCACGTGTGTCTCTTCTGCAGCTCCGACTTCACGTGGGCGAGTGCCACAGTGTCAGCAGTAGCAAAGACCAAGTCGTCGACGTACACAAGGACGTAGAACGGCGGCAGTGAGGTGTCGGTGCGTAGAAACAGCGACGGGTCAGCAGTAGAAGGCGCGAACCCAAGAGCTGCAAGCGTAGTCCTCAGTGTGTCGTGCCACTCACGAGGCGCCTGGCGGAGACCGTAGACTGGCCGTCGGAGGCTCCACTGGGTACCAGGAGGGAACGACCCAGTGAAGCCAGGTGGACGGCGCAGCCAGATCTCCTCGTGCAGGCTGCCCTGCAGGAAAGCAGTGCTGAAGTCAAGCGAGTGGAGCTCGTAGTCACGCTGAGCGGCGACGTGCAGCAGAACCCGAAGAGTGGTCATCTTCGGGGTCGGGGAGAAGGTCTGGAAGAAGTCAACTCCCTCGCGCTGACTGAAGCCTCGTGCAACGTAACGCGCCTTGAAGACAGGCGGAGAACCCGGCGGCCGCTTCACCCTGAAAATCCACATGCCACTGACGATGTTCGCCCCAGGCGGGGGAACCTCGTCGACGTAGGTGCCTGTGGACTTCCAGGAAGCCATCTCTGTGTCCATGGCTGACTGCCACTGAGAGGAGTAGGGACCGGCCATCGCCTCTGCGTAAGAGCGTGGGGTCGGGATGTCTGGTGCATCCGGGTCTCCCTCAGGGGCAACAAGCATGGACACGAGATGGGGCAAAGCGGCAGCAAAGCACTGGAACTCCTCCTGCCTGTCCTCAAGGACGTCAGTGCCAAGAGCACACTCACCCCCGACGGACGGAGGACAGACAGACTCAGACTCAGCAACTAGGCTAGCAGCGTAGTCTAGACGACAGCGAGCAGCAAAGTCGACAAGCTCAGCAACTAAGGCAGACGCAGCAGCAGACTCAAAGGAAGGGTCAGTGACAACAGTGGCCAGGAGACGCGTGACAGCAGGACTGGTAGCACGAAGAGAGTCTGACCCAGGGTCAGGAAGAGCAGGAAGAGAGGAAGCAGGAGGAGACGGTAGTGGGACACGCTGTGGAGCAGTGGACGGACGAAGCGCCATCCGGTGAGTGCCTGGGACAGCAGGAAGACGCTGACGCTGGACTCGACGACTAGAGAGAGCAGTGCGGACAGGCGACCCAGGATGAGACTCAGGCGACGCAGGACGAGACGCAGGCTCACGCCGCTCAGTAAGACCTCCAGTCGGACCAGTGTAAGGAGCAGGACCAAGGAGAGAGGAGGCAGACGGTAACGCCGACTGCAGCTGGACAGGCTGAGGACACTCTAAGGAGGGAGGAGGAAAAGGAGGAGGAAGCTGACCAAGAACCTGCTGAAGGAGCGGAACAAAGTACGGCTGAGACCGAGCAGCGACACCAGAGCCAGCAGGGACACCCGCACCAGGGTCGGCAGCACCAGCAGCAGCTCCAGCGTCCACGTCCTCAGCACCAGCGGTAGCTCCAACGCCCGGGTCCTCAGCACCAGCAGTAGCTCCAACGCCTGGGTCCTCAGCACCAGCAGCAGCTCCAACGCCCGGGTCCTCAGCACCAGCAGCGGCTCCAACGCCCGGGTCCTCAGCACCAGCAGCAGCTCCAACGCCCGGGTCCTCAGCACCAGCAGCGGCTCCAACGCCCGGGTCCTCAGCACCAGCAGCAGCTCCAACGCCCGGGTCCTCAGCACCAGCAGCAGCTCCAACGCCCGGGTCCTCAGCACCAGCAGCAGCTCCAACAGCAGCGGGGTTCGTAACACGAGGCACGCCACTCCGAAGAGTGCAGCGCCGCTCGTACCACTCACGGATCCGCTCGCGGGAGGGGAGCTCCCGAACGGGAGAAGAAGTACTAGCACCAGTCCCAGTAGTACGTCCGGCTCGAGCGGTACCTCTCCGGAGGCTGCAGTACTCTAAGTACCACGCACGTAGCTGCTCCGAGGAGAGGGCTCCTCCAGGTGCAGGACTCCCAGACCTCGTACCTCCAGACGCAGAACCCCCAGACTCCGGACTCCGCAGCTCAGTACCACGAGGCTCCACCCCCCCAAGCTCAGCACCCTCAAGCTCCACACCCCCAGGCTCCACACCCCCAGGCTCCACACCCCCAGGCTCCACACCCCCAGGCTCAGCACCCCCAGGCTCAGCACCCCCAGCAGGACGAGAGTCGACAGCTACCTCAACAGGCTCAACCGGGTCTACCTGAGACACACCTGAGGGAGCGGCACCCTGAGGGGGGAGGGGGTCTGCAACAGCAGCACCTGGCGAGAGGAAGAGAGGCGGGGGGGGGAGCGGGGCAGTGCGGTAGGGGAAGAGGCGGTAGTAGGGGACGGACTCGTCAAAAGTGACGTCCTGGGAGGGCAAGACTCGGCGCGAGGTGGCGTGGTAAAACTGCCAACCAGACGCGTCCGGGACAAAGCCGAGGAAGACGCAGGGAACAGCACGGGAGGAGAGCTTGTCCGCAGACGAATCGCGGACAAAAGCTCGAGACCCCCAGACCCGGAAACGCGACGCATTGCCAACCTCCCCCGTCCACAGTAGCGTGGGCGAGGTCTCCGGCAAGGAGACACGGGGCCAGAGGTTGAGTTGATGCGCAGCGTACCGGACCGCAAACGGCCACAGAAAGTGGGGGGCAGCCGCATGGATCAAGGAGGTACGGGCGACCTCCATGACCAGGCCAATGCGGCGCTCCGCAACCCCATTCTGCTGTGGAGAAGCCGGAAGCGTGAACGACTGCTCAATGCCGTGCTCAGCACAGTAGGCTGCCAAGAGGTCGGAGGAGAACTCACCACCTCTGTCAGAGTGCAAGCGCAGGACAGGAAAGTCCGAGTGAAAACGCTCGCTGAGCTGGAGACGGGCTCGGCGGATCCAAGGGATCAAGACATCAGGGACCTCACCCTTGGTGCGCAAGGGGAAGACCGAGGTGTAGCGCGAGTAGTCGTCAACAACTATCAGGAAGTACCTCTCCTGACCCTGACCACGGACGCGGGCTGGGCCCCACACGTCCATGTGGAGTGTCTGCAAGGGAGCAGTCGTCGGGGGGAACGAGGAGGAGTGAGGAGCGGCGCGCTGCCGTCCCTCGACACAGGGGAGACAGGTAGGAGCAGGCGAGGGTGGGAGGGGAGGAAGGACCCTGGGCAGGCCAGAGACAAGGTACCTGGAGTGCATGGCACGAAGCCGCTGCACAGACGGGTGGCCAAGGCGGTGGTGCCAGAGGACAGTCTCGTGTGCCAAAGAGCGACACGAGCAGGGGGCGGACAGCTGACCTGACGCGGACGCGGATGCAGTCGCAGCAACCTGAGGGGACTCAGTAGTCAGTGTGTACAGGTCCGACCCCGGCTGCCGAGTGAAGGTAGCCAAGTGACGGCCCGTACGAGCACACGTGCAGTGTGTCACGCGCTCGTAGGCAGGGGTGAACTGGTGAACACCCCCGTCCTGGAGTGCACAGCCTGCCACCAAGTTCGTAGAGAACGAGGGGAGGTGGAGACCTGACAGTGTGCCCGACGGGACCGCAGGGCAGGGAAGGACAGTGGAAGAGGTCGCAATGACCGGACCCCCAGAGGGGTCAGCAAGGGAGACAGCAACTGGCCGAGCAAGCGGCTCAAGGGCAGTGCGGTCACGAAAGAAGCAGCGAGAAGCACCTGAGTCCAGTGTGAAGGTGTGCAGTGCGGCAGTCGACGCAGTACCAAGGGGGGGAGACACACGAGCACCTAGAGCAGCAGCCTCACCAGCACCTGGGGTAGCCGACACGTGAGTACCTGGAGCGGCAGACGCACTGGCCCTAATGCCCGGGTCGGGCGGCAC